GTACAAATTCAACTAATAACTGACAATTAATTTTTAAACTGAATTAATTTGACAGTGTACATTCTATATAAGTCTATATCTTCCTGCTGTTCTGGATCAAGATTTAATTTTGGTTTGAAAACTTGCACTGGAATCATGAAAACAGCAAACACCACTTAAAGGTTTGGTATGAAATCAGTCTTCTGACAGAACGGAAGGGAAACACATGCATTACATGTAGTTTTTGTCACCCAGGCCAACAAGTTGTCATGTGAGCCACACTGGTTCTACGACAATCAAAGTGTCTCTTTATGTAAACAAGAAATGAAATCAAACACTGCAAAATTTCACAAGACCGTACAATTTTTTCATCTGAATTCTCTTTCTCAACACTCACCACCCAACAAGCATTTCCAAGGTCAGCAATTTTCACTCTTATGGAGTCGTCATCTTGATCAGGTTCTACAGAACCTTCTTCTAGACAACTTTCTTCAATGCAGGTTTCTTCAGATGCAGCTGGAAGGCAATATAAGAGGTCAAATGCTTTAGAGGCCTTCTAAATTGAGTGTCAAAAGTAATCAGGCAATTACTTTAGTTTTGGTTTTGGTTTTGGTTTCACCATGGTTTGAGATTGACTGAGTAGTCCAGCTAAGTAATTGGTTTGGTTTTGGTTTTCCGACACTCAATTACACTACAGTCACTAAAATTACACTCTATCATCCACAAATTAAAGCACTCGCGCCCTTTAAATGCCTTTAACTTTGTTTTTGTTCTTGTTGTTGCAAACATGATTAATATATCTTTGATGTTTTTTCCTAATTACTTCCTATGCAAAAATGTCAAAGGAAATTTGTTTCAAAGCTTTGGGCCCACATTGGTGGACATGAGAGTTCAATCTTAATTTTTTGAAACCTCAGATTTTGCCAAATTTCAAGGGTGTAAAAGCAATACGGACACGTTGTATGAAGTACACTTATCGGGATGACCCACCACCCATCAAAAAAGAAAAAGAAAAAGAAAAAGAAAACAAGATATGCACATTATTTTACATCTAGCTTTCTCTTGAATACCTTTCTGTTCCGGTAATGACTCCATGTCAACACTCTTGCTGTCCTGTGCTTCACCATTGCACAGTAGTCCATCTACAAATCACACAATCACACAACATTAGCAGTCCTACAATGGACTAGCAAAGGAGTGGCCACAACAAAAAACCTATGATGCCCCGGCATTCCGCAGGGTATGGTTAAAAGCACTGGCCTAACAAGCCACACGTGGTTGTAAAGATATTTTTAATTGGAACTGTGTTCAAGTCATACTTGTATCGGCAAAGAAAATTTAGTTGCTCCAACCACAGCAGTAGTAACAATCATGCCTAGTCATCATACCACTTGGTTCACTTCAGCAGCACATCTGGCCAACATTGGTCGAGCCAGTCTGTATGTCATTAACACTCGGTCAAGCCAAAACAACCCATAGGAGGTCAAAGGAGCTTGGTATGCCACTGAAGCATACCACAAGGGTAAGTTCAGTTCTTTGCTGTACCCAAGTTTGGCTGAAAATCTTGTGATACAGTGAAACCTGTATTAAGTGGACCCCATATTAAGTGGACCTGCCTCTATTAAGTGGACACCAGAACTCTTGAGTCCCTAAATTTTCTTCCCACATTTACCGTAAAATAAACCTACATTCAGTGGACATCTCTATTAAGCAGACACCGACACCAGTATTAAGTCATTTTGTTGCACAAAATCCTGCAATAAGTGGACACTTCAAGGGATTTTTACTTCTAAAAGCTTAGCTCTGAGACTCCTTTAACATTGTTTAGCAATGTTGTTTTAAACCTAAGTAGATTATTCCAGATTGATGCATTGACTGACTGGACATTGTGCTATGAGCAGTATTTGATCTTACACTGTGTTACACTGTGTTACAGAAGGGTTAATAATGAACTATTATGGCACAACACAGTAGGACCTGTTTAGAGCAGACACCCTGTATTAAGCAGACACAAGTGAGTGTCCTAAGGGTGTCCGCTTGATGCAGGTTTCACTGTATCAGGTTAGTGACTGACCTTTCAGGAGACCAGGTCAGTATCTAGAGATTACGCTCTTGACTAGACAATTTTGAATGTGGGTATAATAAAAAGAATATTTAAGGGTTGGCTTTACCTGTTTCATTCTGTTCTTCCGTCACTGACATATCATCACCAGAGACAACACATTTCTCTTGTAGAGTCTGACTACTAAGTTCCTCAGAAAATTCTACAGACTCACTATCAACGTGATTTTCCACAGTCTTTTCTGGCAATGGATTTGTTTCAAGTCCACTAGCATTTTGTTCACAAACTTTGGAATTGTCCACACAATTTTCTGTGTTATTGCTACAACATTCTTCACTGTCCTTTTCCAAAGCTTCCTCATTTTCTTCCAGCATCCCTTGCTCAATTTCATCCTGTTGTTGTTGCTGCTTTTCAATTTGCTTCTTCAATTTTTTCTTCATTTTCTTTTTCTTGTTCTTTGATATCTTTGTTGATGTGCATTGCTGCAAATTAAAATATTTTTGCAGCAAGAGGTGATAGAACCATAAGCCTGATGGAACAGAAATAAGCCATTCTTTGCATCGTTAATGCAACCCTCATTTGAAAGATGTCCATTTCACAAGAGCCAAAAAATTTACCCTGATCAAAATAACTCTTCAGAGAGAGCCCCTGCTTGGTATTTCACTCTAAATTTTCACAAGTAAAAACATCCCATCAAGACACTAGATCGATATCAGTATAGTTACATACCATCTTAAAATTTAATCACAGACATCTTTAGTGGAAGGTACAACTAAATAAATTGAGTCTATCTAGACTTAGATCTGTTAATTTAATTTTGATGGCTGCAAAACCATAAACACTTAATATGCAGGTTACATTTATAGCCTTCATTCTTCACTTTTTCTAACCATGTTACTACACATAAAACTAACGAAGCTTTGACTATTCACATACCTGCATTACTGAAGGAGGAGCAGTACTAACTGAAAGAAAAAAAGAATGCAAAACGTGAAATTTAACATATTTAGATGATTTAACTAATTCTCTCAGTTATACAGATTCAATATGTAAGGCCCTGTTCAGACGTCATGCTTCTGCCGTGCTGAACTTAATTACAATTAGGTTTGACTGTAGCATGGCACAAACACAACTCTGATTCACATGTTGTGCCAGAGTTGTAACAAATTCAGTCTGATGTACTGAAACCACATAATAATTCTCCTCATAGCCCACTGTGGAAATGAAATCTCTCCAAAATAGATTAAAATATAATTTGTGAATTTTGTTTGGCGTAGCAGAAATACAGCATTTGAATCACTGCTGTGCCATAGTCATGTAGCACGTTAGAGGTTGTCTAACTTAATTGCTTGCCAAACTTAACTCAAAAGATTGATTCAGATGCCATGCTTCTACCAAACTTAATTCCCGAATTTAGTTTGGCATAGCAGAGGCACAACATCTAAACTGGGCCTAACTTCTAACAATGTCCAAACACTACCAAGCGGACAGGTGATGAGAATACAGTTAATCATCATCGAGNACAACTAAATAAATTGAGTCTATCTAGACATAGATCTGTTAATTTAATCGTGATGGCTGCAAAACCATAAACACTTAATATGCAGGTTACATTTATAGCCTTCATTCTTCACTTTTTCTAACCATGTTACTACACATAAAACTAACGAAGCTTTGACTATTCACATACCTGCATTACTGAAGGAGGAGCAGTACTAACTGAAAGAAAAAAAGAATGCAAAACGTGAAATTTAACATATTTAGATGATTTAACTAATTCTCTCAGTAGTACAGATTCAATATGTAATGCCCTGTTCAGACGTCATGCTTCTGCCGTGCTGAACTTAATTACAATTAAGTTTGACTGTAGCATGGCACAAACACAACTCTGATTCACATGTTGTGCCAGAGTCGTAACAAATTCTGTCTGATGTACTGAAAACACATAATAATTCTCCTCATAACCCACTGTGGAAATGAAATCTCTCCAATATAAATTAAAATATAATTTGTGAATTTTGTTTGGCATAGCAGAAGTACAACATTTGAATCACTGCTGTGCCATAGTCATGTAGCACGGTAGAGGTTGTCTAACTTAATTGCTTGCCAAACTTAACTCAAAAGATTGATTCAGATGCCATGCTTCTACCAAACTTAATTCCTGATTTTAGTTTGGCATGGCAAAGGCACAACATCTAAACTGGCCCTAACTTCTAACAATGTCCAAACACTACCAAGCGGACAGGTGATTAGAATACAGTTAATCATCATCTAGGCAATGAAACACCAAATTCTCATGTCCATTACTGAAAAAAGTGTATGCAAACAAGTAAGGAGAAATAATATCTCGAAACTTACTTAAGGCTGGGGAGTAAAGTCCCGAAGCTCTGGCTGCTGCAGCTTCTGCTGCCAGTTGTTGAACATGCTTCTCATTCACGCAAAGTAAAATATTCTCAGGTTTGATATCAGTGTGAATAATTTTACACTTGGAGTGCAAGTAGTCGAGGCCTTGTAATGTCTGAATAAAGACCACAGTTGAAGATATCACCACATGAAAATTTATTGAGACCAACCAAATGTAATCTAATTTAAAGTAAGCTTTTTAATAGAATGTAATGTTAGAAATAAACAAAACAAAGCCAGTGGTAATCTGTCATCAGTGTCAGCCCAGGAGTTTGGGTTTATGAAAGGGTATATCGGGGCTGGGGTGGGGTGTAAAGGTTAAAACTGCACATGAACCAAGTGGCCCATCAGGCCGGAGCTTATCCTGGATTCTGTAGCATGAAGTAACTAGGAGTATTTCTACTCCTCCTGGATGGGATGCTGTTCCATTGCAGGGTTACCCCCGGCATTGAATTCCCCCATACCCATTTATACACCTGGGTGGAAAGGGCCACTGTGAAAGTAATGTGTCTTGCTTACGAACATGACACAATGTCTCTGGCCAGGGCTCAAACCTGAACGGCTTGATCCAGATATGAGCGCACTAACCATGAAGCACCTAGGAATAGAAAGTAGAAGTAGAAAGAAGTAGAAGTAGAAAGAAATTCAAACTTACCTGTTTTATGATACTCTTGACTTGCAATATTGGTATTCCTTTATAACTGGACTTTATTATTAATTTTAACAAGTTATGACCTAACACTTCAAAAACCATACATATATCTGTGAAGCAAGAGTCAAGGAAATAAGGCATTTAAAAAAGACTTGGTTTTAGAAAAAATATATATTTAAAACAATTCCTTCTATTAGAGAATGGGGTCTGATCAGGTGACCTGCCCTGCCATAACGGATACGTGAACCATTTATTCCTACAATTTTGAAATCATCCGTTAGCTGGACAACATGTTTATATCCAGTGTGATTTGCATCTGCTGTGTGCACCTAAAAGATATCAAGGGCATGTGTTTAGATATTACATGAAGTAAAAAGGGAAAAATACACAATGAGAGATGTTACTATCTTAAACCAAAAAAAGAATTATTATAAGTAAAAACAAATTCTTACAGTTCTTAGAAGTTTCATTTCATCTATAGCAGTTTCTGTATAATGAGATGCGCTTTTAACAATCTTCAGTGCTACAAACCGGCGATCTCTGGAAATAAAAAAAGAAAATTATGTCACTACATTGTAGGGACATCATGAATGAACTGATAACCAGAATATTTTCAAAATATGATTCTGCAGTATATTTTGCATAGTGACCCAGTAAATGTGTTTTTGCTTTGTGAGTTAGGTTGTTGTGATCTCAGTTGCGTAGCTCTCCACATCCTTGCAAACTGAGACTTCCTTTGAGTAATCGAGTTGGCTGCAGAGACATCTATGCCAACTCTCCTGAATTATTCAAGAGTCTCCTGGACACAGACTGAATCTCTGGAACATTTGATGCATTTTTGTGACTGAATTGGAGGAACTTTAATTTCAACAGAGTGTTTTTTTAGGGTCGATAAGCTAAAATTGGCGATCTCCCAGACTTCAATTTTGCTAGGTTGGCATCTCTGCAAAGATAAAGGACTCATTTCCAGTTAGGAAGTGAGATCTACCTTCACTGAGAAAGAAAAAGGTTCCTCCCACAGGAGGAACCTTTTTTCCCACACAAAAACATTTTGCCAACATTAAGCACTGGATTTCAAGAACACCCAGAAGCGAAGCCTATATACCCCAACTACTGATTACAATACTCACTTGAGATCCCATGCCAACCACACAGTTGAAAAGTGTCCCCATCCCAGCTTTCTGATGATGCTGTACCGGTTATTGAACAAGTCACCTAATCGAACAGGATGGTACCCTCCTGAAAGGGAAGAAATTAACAAAGACCATCAACACCCACACACTTTTCTTCACAGTGTGCGTAACTTGATTTCTTTGCATAATCTGAGAAATTCCACCCGACAGAGATCACATGTCTGAGGTACGTTGTAAAAAATTCCATTCCTGATAATGGAGTTCTACAAGGATTTATGTGATGGGGGTTCACCAGTTGAACAAAAATCCCATAAATTGCAGTTGGAAACCAAATCAAATGTAGCAATTTACCAAAAAAAATCTGTTTGACAGAAATTGTGTTTTTGAAACAATTTTTCGAGGTAACTAGTCCTACCATTTCAATTGGTACAAACTGTCATTAAATTCTATGGCTGTTAGTCTATTTTTCTCTTTATTTTCCAGTTTTTCATCATGGGAGAATAATATTTGACCAAGTTAAGTACAACTGAGGGAGTAACTGCACAGTCAAATAATTTCAAAATCAAGGAGCAAGTAGTGCAAGCGTGACTTGAGATCACTAGCACAATAACTGAGTCCCTAAATTTCCATATGTTTCAAAGTCTAAAGAGAACATTAATTAGGAAGCCATGAAAGTGCACACAATTGATATGCAAATACACAAACATTTGTTATAGGATACCTGTAATATGAGCGCACACCAATCACATGACAAACAGGAGCAAGGAAACCAATCAATGATCGAGAATTTTGTTATACACTGTAGATAGGATTAAGCTAATTACATCATGAGCACAGATTTTTTAATTCTAAACTCAGATATCCCTCTCACTGGAGAAGAGTTATGTATGCACAATGGTAGATCTGTCTTTGCCAGCTGTAAACTGTTGAGGACACTATATAATTATGTAAATTATGTGCTAGAAGAATTTTTCTGGCCTTTGGCTGACAGGTGTCGGGAAATGCAACTCCTACATCGGTGCAGGAGTATCAGCTCCCACAGTGTGTGGCTCCAAATTTTTCATATTAGGTGTTATGTTAAATTTTTAAGCAAAACACATTCTTTTAAGCCAATAATTGTGCCCCATCCAAAGTGCATCATAATTTCAAATAATACTCATGGAAATTTTTGTCCCTTTTAAATTGCTACAGTTTGTTACATTTTGATTTCAATTCACCAAGAAAGTCAAGGTGTTTAATAAACAAATGACAACTTAACAGTCACTTTCCATAATGATGATGGAAATGTGGTTCCCTTTCCACTCAATGCAAATTTCTCGCCTTGCATAAATGCAAAAACTATATTTCTGTTTGGTGTGTTTGATACGCATTAAGCACTATAAATGGTAAAATTATTTGGAATGCATCCCTTCAACTTTTGACTACAGGATTTCCTGTTTCTGTATGTAAAGATCAATTTTCAAAACATAAAGCTCTTGAGCTTCAGAATCAAAACAAAAACAATAAAAACATACTAGTCTTCCAAAAAGATACAAAAGGGAGGTAGCGCAATAAGTTTCTCTTTTAAGCATTCCAATTTTTTTTCTACCACAATGACTCTGTGAGAAACAAAGCGCTATGTTTGTAGCAACATACAACTGCACATTGTTACGAAAGAAAGGTTACTGAAGGTGAACATCATCTGGACAAAAATTTCCATAGGTTTGCTTTAATTTAAGACCCTCAATCAAGCGATTACGAGAAAGTTCATAAAGCAAATGAAAAAAAACCTCCATTGTGCTTTAAAATTATTGTTTGATACAGAGCATAGACTTAATTGTTGTCACATTTTCACTTCAAACAAAGCCATTTGTTGCCGCGTTGAATATTTCTTTTACAAAATACTCATGCAGTAAACAGAGTCACCTTCAAAACACTCTAGAAACGCTTTGACAATCGTATCGCTTATTGACTGCAAGATCTGGCATTATTACCGATATTTACCGTGTGCAAGTCCAACTCGATTCATCAGTTGAAGTTTGTATACATGTACATTAGAAAAATCGCAAAACAAATTCCTTTATCGCTTATCTTTTCGTAAAAAACTTCCATATTTCCTGACAATACTAATCGGCCGCACTATTTCAAAGGACGAAACTAAGAAGATCAATTTCAAACCCTCTCAATACGTGTTGAGCTTTCGGGCAGTATAATTTTCCAGTTTTGAACACGCTACAGACAGATTAATTTTATATGAGCTTGTCAATTTAGACACATCTTTAGGTGCATTGTCAACGAAATTTTCAGCTAGATTCACAGTAACGAAGTAATGAAGAATAAACTTCTCCGAGTCTCAGCAGGAATATGCATAATTTAGCCTGGTGTAGATCGCTGTTCTTGTGTATAAAATACGAAAGGAATTGTAAAACCACTTCAAACCGACACTCGCTACAATCGCCAACGTACCTTTGCAGTAATCTCCTGGCTCCTCTTGTTCCTCTTCGTCGGAGTTTTCGTCCACTTCATAATCTTCATCGTTGAAACTAGACACACTCCCGCTAGACATAATACAAAACAGAAAACATTCATCAACATTTAGCCTGTAAAAAAATTAACCATGAGTTCTCTTTACCTTTTCGGCTTGGTCTTGCTGTCTTCTGGCCTCATGCGTGCCTTTGGTGCTTTGTACCTCTTTTTCTTCGCTTGTATTGCAAGAACTGAAACGAGTCACAGTAAATCAGTGAGTAATATATCCCGTTGTAGAGCTTAGGAAAGGGCATGTTAGTTTATCTAACCTTTCCGTTGCATTTTGGAGTTCATTATACCGTTTTTCGTTGCCTCTGATAAGCTTGTTGAAAAGTTGACTATTTTTTTGGCGCGCATGTCAACGCACAGGGATCGCGGGCTCGACAGCTTAATGCGTGAGCAAAAAAAAACAACAACTTCCATTTTTCGGCTAAGATTGCTTTCTAAAAACAGTTCATCGTAGACCTATTTTTAACGGTCTTTCTTTTTCAATGGACTAAATTTCACTCATGATTCCTGCTTTTCAAAAATGATTTTTAGTATCAGACTAAAATAGATCCCATGGAAATGTAGTCGCTGCAGTCGACAAATCATGAAAAAAAATTTTTTTTTGATCGCCAAAAAATTAAAAAGTATAAAATTAAAAAAAAAGGAAGCTGGAGTGAAATCTACTATGGAATTGTAAGATACCTTAAGAAGTGAAAAAATATATCCTAGTATCCTACTAATATCATGCTCAGAGAACGAGAAAATATTTTATTTTTGAGCGACACGTTTCAATTGTTGAATTCACAGATTCAGTTTCCTGCGGCAATATATTAAAATGTTTATTAAGGCCACCACTCATGCTGATATCAAGTGGTGTGTCAAATCGCTAATATTGTAGTTCGGGTTTTACCAGAGGGGGGTAAATGAAGGTGTCAAATTTGCATTTTCGTAGTAGCATAGA